ATAAAGCCCCTTCTATGTTAAGAATTCAGTCCATAGCTCAACAATTCACTTGTCAAACGTTCAAAATAACAATAACTTCAATTTTTTTGATCCTAGAAAACGCAATCCTTCTGTAAAAGTGCATAGTTGGTCATTTCATTACTTATGTTACTTATAAGTTCTTAAGTCTCCCATTCTAAGGCCTCATTATATTGGCGCGTGAATCGCACCACACCCAGAAAAAATTATCAAAAAATGATTTCTTAGGTTCACGCATATTTGTGGTTTTATATTTGCATGCGTTTAGGTTGAAACACTTGAACGCTCGTGGGCTGTGCTTTGCGAAGTTTGGAAGGATCGTAATGAGCTTTACAACGAAAATCTTGACTGTCAAAGATGGAAACAAAACGCTGCTCAGCTGGAATTATGGTTGCTTGAAAGAGAGCGACTACTGGGTATGCATATCTTCTTGACATTTTTCTGCCATGGGGTTGCTTTGTTGTTCCATATCGACTTTGAACACCTTTCGCTTCTTTTAGGTGACGACTGGCGTCATATCGAGTCAGTTGAGAACGCCGAAAACCATCTGCGTGACTTTGATGATTTCTTAGTGACGTTAGACGCACAGGGAGATCGTTGTGAAATGGTGAAACGTCTCACTCTCATCGAGCAAAACTTCAGTAAACTCAGAAAGAAAGAGGTTCGCCTAACAAGACTTCTCTTAAGGTCCTTATTTGCGATTCATTCTTCGGACTGTGCCTTTCTGATTCAGGTCGAGCGATCTCGTATTGCCGAAGAGGACCAAAGGCGCCGTGACACGATTAAGGTCGTCGAAAAGGGTCAGATCCTTGCTAACAGACGGCAAGAGAGAGAAAGACGAAAAACGCAGGTACGTATTTGAGATGAAATTTCATCAGTTCCTTGGTCCAACTTCCGCTCCTTGTTGATATCTTACCATTTCTTACTTTTGTATTTAAAAAATTCGTAACCCGGTCAATGTCAACCTTTTTTCCCATAAACGTGAAGTAAAAAAGTTTTTAAGTAGAAACAGATCTCGTTTTTCGAAAGGAGCGTTTTCATAAAAGCATTCCATTGATGAAAGCTGCCTGCTTTAGGAAATCTCTCTTCTCCGACCAAACTCGAATGATGATTTCTCTAGTCAAACATTGCCGAGGAAGATGGATAGAGCAGAGCGGAGCAAAACGACAACAGTCGGTATGTCTTTGTCCTCATAATCTCTTTTACCTGGTAGTTAGCAATGATACTGTAGAACAAGTATGTTAACTAATTCGCGTCATGTTTAAGGTGATTCAGTAGTGGTAGGAGGTCCATCGACGGTTGTAGCTTCATCCGCGAACTCTTCGCACATCTCTGCTGTTGATGTCGACATGAGAAAGACGCCTTCGTTCACTACGAGACGCGGTAACTCCGTTTCCCGGAATAGCACAAGCCGTTGGGAGGATTTAGGTGCCATTGATATGAGAGGGTAAGTGCTGAGCTTTGCTCTTCTCGGGAGCCAACCAGAAAAGCTCTATTTCAGATTCGTAGATAGGAAACAAGATTTACAAAGTGGAAGCAAAAGAGCAACAATAAGGTCATGGAAGAATTACTATACCATTTTGTGTGGACAATTAATGTGTTTCTTCAAGGTGAGTAGCATCAATACATTTTTGTAGCGTTTCCTTTTTGTGGGAATTCCCAAATATAAGGAGGATGCCTTTAGGACGAGTCGTCTTTCTACGAGAACATCGCAGCTGCGCCTCCAGTCTATATTTACGGTGCACGATGTGAACCGTTCCCAGAGTATGTAAAGAGGAAACATGCTTTCAGGTAGCTTTTCCGCTTTCTTTTACGAAAAAGGCTTTTTGAATGTAGTCTTTTTTTAATTGAGCTTGGAAGGTGTATTGAGCGCTGTTTTCCAGGTTGGCAACCCAAGACGGTGCAGAATACATTTTTGCCTGCAGCGACGA